CAAATCAAGCACACCAAGCTTAGATTTTACTCCCTTATTTATATATCGTAAATAGATTTTCCACACCTATCAAATACATATTCATTAGCCTGTCTTCACAGGCTCATCTTCATTGGTTGGCAGTCTATTCTTCTCACTCTTAAAGCTACAGCATTTGTTGTGCTTGCATAGGAGGAGTCTGGAGGGGTACTTGTTTCGTTCCTCAGCTGGGTCAGTGGTCACAATCTCCCCCTGCCAGAATTACATTTCATACAGGTTCTCCTACCTTGCCCATGTTTGCTTGTTTTCCTTCCTCTTTAGTTCAGCTTGTCTTGGAATGTCTGCAACCATCTGTTTGGCCTTCCTCTTTATGGATTTATGGTACAGCAAAATATGCATTGCTTACAACTCTCGTGATGCCTGAAGTTTTTTGTTGAGTCTGTCTATTCTATTAACAGTGACTTGTTCTTTACTTTTGACTGAAGGATAACATTCTTAATATTATTGCAATGGAAAAGACTTCTTTAACAGGAGTCAGATCCAACACAAAAATGTCCTAGAGCAGATATCATAACCAGATGGGGACAGAAGGCTTTAGATGTGATGTCTGTATTTTTCAAGGCACCGTAGACTTTTAGCTTCAGAAATACATTTTCAGTTGCTTCTCTTTGCTCTTCCTGGACCTTCCCAGGTGGCTAGAACCTAGCTTGCAGAACCAAAACTTGATGTCTGCCCACATTTTCACAGCTTGTCTCTGCCTTAGAAGTCTTGAAACACATCAACTGAATGTCCTAGGTTTTTTTCCAGTTCTCCTGGTCTGGGAGCAGACATGATTAGTGTGGACTCGGTAGGGCTGACTCAATATTTTAATATACTGATCTTCCTGTGTAATGCATTGGATAGGATATAATTTGGCAAGACTGGAATGTTTGGGCAGAGCCAGTCCCAGCAGTGCAGGAGGGGAGAACTGAAGACTGCATTTTTTAAATGGTGCCTGTGTCCTGCCCATGGTTATCCTGCAGCAGGGAGAGGGAAATAAAGTTTTGCATACTTCTGGAGAAATGCATTAATAATAACAGCACCACAACAAGGCCTCTGTGCTTCTCTGAGTGTTTTACTTCACAGGTACTGGCCTAAAAGCATGATGGGTTTGTGTCTCGTTGCATGTAAAGACATTTCAGAAGAAAACAGGAGAGTCTGCAGCATTTTCACAGACAACAGTGTACATGTTTGCGCGTCTGCACATACTGTTGTAGTGTAACACAATGACGTGATTAGTATTTGCGGAATAGCTCTCATTTTAGCAGTGCCTATGATCAGCTGGCCAAGGATGAGACAAAACACTGTGTTGGTACTGCCCAGTAGTTGTGGCAATACCTCTATGTGTGTTGGGGTGGATGGGGTAGGAGTCTTTTCCTCAGTTTCCTCAGTTGAGGTCTCTGGGCATGAAGACTTGCCTGGCTGGCTGGAGGGCAAACAGGCACAGCTTCCTCCGAGGTTAGTGTGACGTACATGCTTGTGTAGCTCTTGGTAGTCGCCCACCAAAGCTAGGGAGTAAGGGCATCCATGGTTCATCCAGGACCTAGAGGCTGAAAGGAAGAAGGGCTGCATTCTTATCAGGTGTTTATTAATTTCCTTTTTATTAGATTTTTTTTTTTCTTTTGGAAACAACACAACCATTTTTATTGCTTGAAAACAACCATCCATTTTGCTTTGTTCCAGGCTTCACAGGCACACCCATGTTGGCCCTTTTCTCTGAGACAGCAAAATGCACAAAGGCTTGGCGTAGCCTTTGTATGCAGCATCGCGGTGTTGTGTTGGTGGTGGTAGATTGCATGCCTGATATCCTCATTTGTCTTAACATATCAAGAAATGTCTCCAGAGATCAACACATAACACTGGGATTGTGTTGGTCGAGTGCTCACTGTGTTGTTTTAAGGAGGAGTAACAGGCAGCCAGCTCCTCACACAGTCTCACGCTTGTGGAGCAGCAGATAGGACCTGTACGCTGGTAGTGCTGCCAGCTTAAGCTGGGGGCCGAAGCCATTTCATGGTGAAGACACTGAGCTGCCCGCGGGTGTTGTGGGGAGGTTTAGCAAGGGATTCAGTGTCAGTGTGATTATTTTTTTGCTATTATTTATTTTTGATGGGTTTCTGTTGAGCAATCTGAATACCATTCCATGAAGAAGAAAAAAAAATTTATTTGAGATTCCAGTTTGGCTCTCATGACTTAACAGGAGATTTGCATGTCTTTTTAGAGGTTTTATGAATATTTTTCCAAAGATGCATTAATTCTTAAGTCCTGGGACTTCCAAAGAGTCTCTTCCTCCCTCCCTCATCCAACACTTATGCATTGTGGCCAAGGACAGCTTAGAGGAGCTGCCTGACTTCGCTGGTGTAGTGATGGGAGAATCAGAGATGTTGCTGGGTAGGAAGACAACGACCGAGACAAGCAGAGGAAAGGAACTGGGAAAAATGGGAGAACAGGTAAAATTTATAAGAGATTGAATTTACATGGGCTGGATGAAGTGGCTAGAACCAAGTCCGAGATGAGGGGTGAGAGTATAACCAGATTTTGGGTTAGAATTAGTGGATGTAAGTAGAGAACATGGCTGAGAAATCCAAAGCATGGGAAGGTGGCAGAAAGAGGCCAGGAGACTACAGGAGATGGGAGGCCAGCGTGAGAGTGGGGACAATCCTAGGGTGCAGGAGGGGGGACCAGCCTAGGGTGAGGAGCAGTGAGGTGTGGAAAGGCGACTTGTCTGCCTGTGGGGAATGGAGCCAGGATGAGAATCTTGGAGAAGCTCATTGAATTTGGAGAGGAAGAGGAGTAACTGAGAGTTACACCATCTCACTCTCTCCCTGTCAGTCCCAGAGACTTTCTTTTGCTGCCTGACCTTGAGGCAGTCCTGCTGGAAGGAGCTGTGTGTGCTTATGTGCTTGAAATATGTATGTATGCGCGTATTTTTGCTTCCACTCTGGTATTTAGATGGCTATTTTGGGTGCATCTATAAGTAAATACCACAGCATACTGAGAGTCTGGTCTTTTAGCAGAAACATGTGGCCGGGTGAGGGTTGTTTGTGTCTGCCGGACAGTCTGTCTGTGCTTGCAGGACAGGGACACCACTGCACCCAGCTCAGCCCCACTTTGGTCGCTCTCACATGCCCCTGCCCTATGTCCGTCTCTCCATCCTATTCTTTTCCCTTGCCGGGAAAGGTAGGTTTTCCCGGAGCAGCAGCATCTGTCCAGTCTACGCTCGGGGTGTCCCGTGGTAGCCAAAAGCGTAAGGATCGCCATGAAAGCAGTCACTCTGGCTGTAGACAAAGCTCTTCTTAAGCATGCCAAGGGAACTGGAAAAACAGGAGCTTTCCTCCCCCCACCCCAAACCTTTTCAGTACAACATTAAGTCACTTCCTGCAGTTGCACTAAGTCGAGAGTTTATCTGTTTGTTGTTGTTGTTTCCCCCCGCCCGCCCCCGCTCCCCCCTCTCCCCAGGCTTCTATTCCTTTAAGAGGACGCGGCTTCCAAACCTCGCCTTTTAAAACCGAAAAAAAAAAGGGCTTCGGCGTGCGGCACATGAAGCCGGAGCAGCCATACGTGGCTGGGAAACGTGCGGTGCGGGCGCAGAGGCGTGTGGCTAATTCAGGTAACCGGAAAGCTGGCTTTTATTATTCCTCCAGCTCATAACTCGCAACAGTTGTTTTTCCCTTTTTCTTCTTCTCCTTCCCCCCCTCGCCCTCCCCTCCCCCTCCCCGAGTGGGACGGGAGGAGCAGGTTATATGGCAGCGCTGTGTATAAATACTCAGCCCAAGGAAGGTGAAGTTTTATTTAGATTGCTTTGGGGACAGGCGAGTCCCGCGTCCGGAGGGACAGGCGGGTTTTCCTCGTGTGCGAGGCAACGGTCTCCCGCACTGGTGGGATTCGGGACCCCCGCTGGAAGGGGGTCCTGCTGCCTGTGTTGATGCGGGGGGGCTTCGTGCAGTTTAAAATGAAGGAGGAGAGGCGCTGGTAGAAGTACTGTAAGGTGAGGTGAGGGCGAACGGGCGTTGCTGCTCTCGCAGCAGCCGTTTCCCGAAGCCATAAAACAGCCGCGGATCTGTGTAAAATCTAATGGCATCGGTTGCGTAAGGAGCAGGGTCAGAGTTCCCCTGGCCCGCTCGAATGCACCCTCTGGAGAAGTTGGCCTCCAGATGATTCGTACGGTACGTTGTAATCCCGTGGTCTTCGCGTGAGAGCAGGGAGCCTGCAAAAGCTCGCTGCGATGGGGGAAGACTGGCGGGATTCGGGGACAGGGCACCTTTGAGCTCTGCCACTTCTGTGCCCCTTTGCTAACAGATGTCATCTTCGTGTGTGCGTGTGCAAACGTTTATGCGGGTATGCACTGCTCTCTGCATTTGAAAACCTACTGATTGACTTCTAAAAAGTTAACGGGGATTTAGTGTCGAGGGTCAGTCAGCGGAAAGCTGGTCTGCCTGCTGAGCTGCAGCAGCAGTTTCTGCCTCTGGCGTGCTGGGAGCACCCATCTTTCTGTGCTTGTGTTGCAGCGTGTAGTTACTGAGACATAGCTGCTTTTCCAGTTGCTGATTTTTGTTTCTTCTTTTCCAGAAAAAGAGGAAGTTATTATAAATGGAGAAGATGAAAAAGAACGGAAGGACCCCTATTTTGTGGAAACACCTTACGGCTACCAGCTAGACTTGGATTTTCTGAAGTACGTGGATGACATACAAAAGGGGAATACCATTAAGAAACTGAACATCCGAAAGAAGAGGAAAGCCATACCGGCCTTGGTGGGCACCAGGAACTTTGGTGGCCAGTGCAGTGACTGGACCTCCACAGAGTCTCTCTCTTCGTCGAACAGTGATGAGAACAAGCAGTCTTGCCTGGCAGCAAGGAGCCAAGTAACCTCATCCATTGCTGCAAGACCCTCGGTTTTCTTTGAAGCGTCTCCTTCCTACTTAACCGTCCCCGAGAGTAAGCAGCTTCCTCCTCCCTCCCCCCAGCCTCCTCGGCACAACGTCCATGTAACAAAGACCCTGATGGAAACACGGCGGCGACTTGAGCAGGAGAGGATGATGCAGGTCACGCCTGGAGATGTCCGCAGGCCCCGGCTTTCCAGCTTTGGAGGCATGGGCTCCACGAGCTCCCTCCCCTCTTTTGTGGGATCCAGTGGGTATGGCCATGTGTCTCAGCAGCTGCAGAACGGGTATCAGGGGAACGGCGACTACGGTGGCTGCTTCAGCCCCTCCTTGGGCAGTTCCATTCGTCACAGCCCCATGAGCTCGGGAATATCCACACCGGTCACCAACGTGAGCCCAGTGCATCTGCAGCACATCAGGGAGCAAATGGCAGTTGCCCTCAAGCGTCTCAAGGAGCTCGAGGAGCAAGTCAAGACCATTCCCGTGCTGCAGGTCAAAATATCAGTGTTGCAGGAAGAGAAGAGGCACATGATGGCTGAACTCAAAAACCAGAGGAAGGCCACTCAAACTGACACGTACGGTTTCAGAAAGCGGTCCTACAGTGCAGGAAATGCAGAGCAGTGGGAGCACATGTCTCAAGTGAGAAGAGGCGGAGAACTCTATATAGATTGTGAGGAGGAGGTGGAGAGCATGGAGCAGAGCTCTCAGAGGATAGAGGAGTTCAGGCAGCTGACTGCTGAGATGCAGGCCCTGGAGAAAAAAATCCAGGATGGCAGCTATGAAAGTCCAGCAGCCCTTCGGGTGAAGAGAGAAAGCCTGACAAAAGAAACCCGATCTGTTGCTGTGGGTGCTGATGAGAACATGAACGATGTGGTTATATACAACAGATCTGTGAGGCAGCACAGAGAAGTAGCGGTGGGGACAGAGAAAGAAATGAGGGAGTCTGGGGTTGGGGTAACAGAGGCCATGCTTGGCTTGTCTACGGAGGTTGAGAAAGAGATAGAGCTTCAGCAGCAGACCATTGAAGCCCTTAAGGAGAAGATTTACAGGCTAGAGGTTCAGTTAAAGGAAACGACCCATGACAGGGAAATGACCAAATTAAAACAGGAGCTGCAGGCGGCTGGCTCTAGGAAAAAAGTGGATAAAGCCACGATGGCTCAGCCCCATGTCATCAGCAGGATGGTGGAGGCTGTCGTACAAATGAGAGACCAAATGGTGGGAGACCATGTGGATGTTGCTGATTCCTCGGTGGGAAACCACCTGCAGACAAGCAGCGTTGGCACCTCCTGCCGACCTGCTGTGCGGAGCGCAGCTGCCGGCCCTGAGCTGCTGATGAGCCGGTGGCTGGTGCGGGAGAGGGTGGAGGTGCGAGACCAGGGCACGGGGAGGTCGGTTGAGCTGCGTGATAAGGCGGTGGGCACGGAGATGAGCGTCTGTGAGATGGGTGTCAACACGGAGGAGCCAGCAGGCGCTCTGAGCTCCAGCCGGCCGGTGCAGCTGGGGGGAGCAGTGAGGTCTGTGGGCTGCGGAGATTGCTCGGTGGATGTGGTGGTTTGCACCCCCAAGGAGCGTGTGTCCCGTGAAACGGCCACAGAGGCTGTGCCCAGGGCGGAGGCGACAGTGATGGCTGTGCCTTCTATGGCTAACCGGCAAACCAGCACCGCGTTGGAGATGGTGAGCCAGTGCACTGGCACGGATTCAGCCTCCCTGGCAGACTGTGGGACAAACACCTCTCTGAGCAGCTGCGATAAACAGACCAACACGGAGAGCATGGAGATGCGGAGCGTGGCAGTAGGAGATGGCCGGGTGAAGGACATACACATGTCTGCTAAAACACGTTCGGTTGGAGTGGGCACCTTGCTCTCTAGCCACCCTGGCTTTGAAAAGCCCTCTGCAGTAAAAACCAAAGACTGTGGTGTTGGACAGATAAACGTTCATGAGAACTACCTGGTTGGTCTTAAAATGAGGAGCATTGCCTGCGGACCCCCTCCGTTGCCGGTTGCGCCGGCTGGCACCAGGAGCATCGGTGTTGGTGGAGAGCCTGTGTGCGAGGCGGTGACTGGTCTGCTGGAAAGCCCTTTGCCTCCGCCTGAGCTGAGGACGGGCTTGGATCACTACATCGAGCGTGTGCAGAAGCTGCTGCAGGAACAGCAGATGCTGCTTGCTGAAAATTACAGTGAATTGGCAGAAGCCTTTGGGGAGCCCCACTCCCAGATCGGATCTCTCAATTCTCAGCTCATCAGCACCCTCACCTCCATCAACTCCGTCATGAAATACGCCAGCACGGAGGAGCTGCGGAGCCTGGACCTCCAGAAGCAGTGTGTGGAGAGAAGCGCCCCGTCAGGTAAGCCCTGTGTCCAAGCACGCGTGTCGTCCGCTCCTTTGCCAGCGCCGCAGGTCCAGGCACCTGCTACGCTCTCGCGTGGTCTGGAAGTGAGTGTGTAATCCTCGCTGATGAAACGCAGAGCATAACATTGTTGCTGGATGGGACCACTGGGTATTCTCTCCAGCCCACGGCTGGTAACTGAAAAACCAGAGGGGGTTTTACCTCTCCCAGTGCAGCAGACTCTGAAGGGCCTGATGACGATGACTCTGACCATGTGAGAGAGGTATCTAAAAGTACACAGGGTTTGACTGCCATGCAAGGTGTTGGCTCCATTTTATAACTTTAAAGAGTATTCAAGGTTAATACCTGTGGGTTTGGAATTTTGTCCTTCCTTTAAACTTGGCACGCAACTTTTTAAAACCACAGTATCAGATTTGACAGGTTGACAGTCACATTCAACATCTGCATCACACTGACTTGTTTCCACAGACAGTTTCCTGGATTTTGTAGTGTTTCTTCCATTGCCTTCGTTCCTTGTGCCTCAGCCAGAGAGCTGCGGGGGTGCTTTCCCCGTTCCAGCAGGGCTGATCGCTTTGTAATAGGCAACTCCAGAGTGCTGCACAGAAACCACATCTTGCATCTTCTCTGTTCCAATAACTGTTTGTCCTAATCCCTAATTACAGCCTCATGTTTGAAAGTCATAAGCTGTAATTACTGCTGGAGGTTTTGGTGACACTCAGGAAAGGCAAGAATTGAGATTTAAATACTCCTTGCATTTTATTTATTAACTTTAAAATCTATACAATTAATTAGAGGGATTTCTTTATTCCCCGGGGTAAAGTTGCATTATTGTTGTTGTTGTTATTATTATTATTATTACGTGCCTGATAGTCTAGTTTATAACTGAGCCATTTTTTCTAACACCTTATTGGTGAATCCAGCCACATTACTATTAAATTTATAAATGTTGGTTCACTGGAAGCCAGTATGTAATGCCTAGCAGCGACTGTTAGGTACCATCTTCTTGGTCCTGCCATACAGCGACTGAAACAAGAAGTTAAAGAAATGGGAAAAAGATGTGCAAATTCATCTGTATTGTGGGTGCTGAATTGGAAAAAAAATCCTGAGTAAATACCATTTAATGTCAGCATAGTATTATTGGCTAATGCACTGCTATATAAAGCTTTTGCTGCTTATTTACTGTCTTAAAATTTACCGATTCTTTTCAGTGTTCATGCACTAAATGGAACCATCCATTAAATGAGCTGAAGTAAAAATTCTAGCTTCCCGTAGCAAAGCAATAAGTAACATTTATGTAGTGGTAAAGAAAACATATGATCTCCTGCCCGCATACATGCGATGTGATACTACGTATGCAATGTTATTATCTTTCTGGTATGCACTTCATATTTTGGGCTTCTTATAAGTAATGATACTATAATAATAAGAGTATCTAGCAGACACCAGAAGTGTCCTTAAAAACAGTGAACCAGAATTTTTACTAGCTGTAAATCTTCAATTCCTTTCCCTGCTTTTACTGCACAGTATCAAATGTGTAGTCTAGAGACTTGGAAGTATTTAGACAGAGGTGGAGCAACGGTTGGTATTTACTAAAGATGTTCTTACTCAGATTCAGATTTCACATTCCGTCCTGATAAAATTATTTTGGAATAATTTTATTTTAACTTGTAATGCCATTATCTTTAGCTGCGGATGCTGAGTGTAAAATCTCTTTTATTTTTAGTCCCTGGTGAGAACGACATGCCAGGACTGCGTGTATAAACCAAGCTCTGGGCTATAAAAGTTTAGACCCATGGAGCATTGGAGTGGGAAGGAGGTCATAAGCCTGAAATGTTTCCCCTTCTCTTCCTACTAATTTTGAAAATACTGTCTTTACTACATTTATCTGCTGGTCCTGCTGCCTGTTCCTGTGGTTTTACAGATCATGCGTTAATTTTTTCTGTAAAAGGATTTTTGCTGAATGAAGCACTGACTTAAATAATTCTGTAAGAGCTGGAACTTTAATAAAGCCTTTTTTTTTTTTTTTTCTCTCTTTCCATGCATCAGTATCTCATGATAGCTTGTGAGCTCTTAATAAGTCTTTCCTCACATTTAGGTCTCTTGGATGTAGCTCATCAGGTGTCTTGTGTGTAAACTCAACCAGCACCCGTTTCTCCAGGCCTGGCATCTCAGCCCGATTACTCTAATGCTTGTGTAAATACAAAAATCCTTCAGAGCCCTGAGTCTCTAGTCTGGTTTGGCTAAAATGAGCAATCAGGTTTAAGTTACTGAAAGAAGCATGACCTTGCAAGCCTTGGTTTCTTAGAAAAACAGGCTGAAAATAGAGGCAGAAGTGTCTGGTTTCACATTAGCAGCAGTAGTGTCATCTTTAATATTTTATTCAGAGAGCATCCTTAGGAAGCGCCTCTTAGAGGCCAGGTCCTTTTAGGGCAAAAGCTGAGCTGACTTTGAGGCCTGTGGTTTGGGTACCAGTTTGCCACATTAAACGATTAGTGGTCTGCACTGCTTCTTGATACCCGAGGTAGCACATCAGTCAAATTCTCAAATCTCAATTCAAAGTGAGTGAAGCCAGCAGCTTTAACCCTGCCACCGATGCATGCCTTGATTAATCACCAGGGTAAGTTTCTGTACGGATGCACTTGTTCATATAACAAATGGAATCCATCTGCCCCTCTGCTGGGGAGAGGGCAGCTGGTGAAGCATTTCTAATACTCCCTAGAAGGTGGTACCTGATGTGGAGCAGTCACGCAGAGGGTCCCATCGGTCTGCCACATGAGTACTGTTTATTCACGCGTGCCTGGCTGGCATCTCAAAGAACGCAGTGCCTCCTCTGCGCTTTTCCTATGGCAGGTGGTATCTGTCAGCCTGCTAGCTGTGGCAACACCCAAAGCTCAAATGCCTGTCGTTCAAAAATGGTAGCGACCTCTGTATTAGGAGCCAAGGTGTTTAGCTGGTGTTTTTTTTCTGTTTTAAATACCCACGCGGTTACATCAGAAGAGAAACAGAGACCTGGTCGGTAATCGTCCTGTAAAGACATTATTCAAGTGAATCTCCATACACCTCTTTGAAGAGGTTTGACATAACTTCCCTGGCCATGCGTTAACATAAGCTTATTACTGTTAGCATTATTATCATTAGAATATTTGCTGTTTTCATTCTGTGGTAGTGCTACTTGGAGTGTTTGAATCTGAAAGTGCCTCTAGCTCCTCATTTCTGCTTCAGTTCATAATTTGCCACGGTATAAACAGTTTTTTCTTTCAAATCTGTTGCTGGTTAGAGAGTGGCAAGCTCCAGCCTGCTAGCCTGTCTGTTAGAGGGGCGTTGGTAGAGCCCCAGCTCCCTCCCCATGCTGTGGCACAGGGACGTGATGTTCAGGCACTGGGCTTTGTTCAGAGTTCCAACTCCCATGGTAACAGACACACCTATGAATATTTAATGGCAGGAGATTCCCATTTTTCCAAGGAAGTGTTGTCGTGTTTCAGCAACAATAAAGCATTAGCTGAGAAAATAAAACTGCTCATAAATGAGAAATAAGAAAAGCTCTGAGATGACCTGCCTGCTGTGCCCTGCATCTTCAGACGCTTTGATCCACCACTCATCAGGGAAATTAGGGATGGCTTTCACACACAGTTGTCTTGGGAAAGGGAGCATCTCATAAATAAGATGCTGCTTCACAGACGTGTAATTTTGGAGGGTTCAATCTTGTTCAATTAAAGGAATAGGTTTTGATTTCCAGTTTCAACGAAATGGCTTCACAAGCTAGTTTGGGGATGGAAAGCAGCTTCTTAACACAAAAGAAGATGGTTAAAGCGAGAGTGAAAATGTAATTGAGATTGTTCTTGCAATCCTATTAAAGGAGCCATCCTATTAGAAGGAGCATTTTCCCCTGGAGCCAAATGGTGGTCGCAACATTTACCTGGGCAGCACTGCCTGGGCCTCAAGTGAATCTGGCTTGTGTCTGTTTACCGTATAAAAAGATCATCTGTGGCAATTTTAAATTCACTGACTTTCAACCTGGAATGGCTCAAAAGTACCTTTTAAAATGAAACTACACTAAGTCTTCTGAAGGTAACACATTTATCAGGTGGATGGGTTATTATCAATTGCTGTAAATGTTTAAACGTAATATGTTTGCTCATCACTGCCTTTTTATTTACCTTAGAATGGTTTTTTTTTTTTCTTCAATAGTTCTGATGCATAGACCACATGGAAAGTGGATTGAAAATTATTTATATGAAAAAAATAACTTTTTAAGGATAAAGCAACTTAATAAGATTTAAGACCACTGGAGAAGACTTTGTGTTCTTCAGTTACAGTAATTCATAGGGAGCTTATTGCTACCGTGAAAAAATCATGCAGTGTGAAAGAGAAGTATTTCCTTGCTGTATATGTTCCAGACAACGTTCATGCTCTGTCTTTAATAGGGAGTGTGTAAGTTGTATCATTGACTGTTATAAACATATTGTGCAAATAAATGTTTGCACTGATCAAAAGGTTAAAAATAAAATCCCTGCGCAGCTACCACATAGGCAGCAAGCTCGTGCCCTTTTTTTAGCTAGAAGCCTGTGATGTTCTAGCCAGAGGTTCTCATCCTGATGGTATTTAACTCCTCTGGCCTCGTTTGCACTTCTCTTGATTTCCAGTGGTATAAAAGTGTTGTCAAGCTAAATCGTTTTTATAGTCATGCTTAGGTTTGCTTCCATCAGACTAAATGGAATTTTTCAAAAGTGGGTAAAGGCCAGACTTCTGTTACCATGAGTTCAGCACAAATCCAGGGAAAAAAGTACTGTTTAAAACTCACCCAGTGAGTTCCCTGAACCAGCTTACTACATGACAACTCATGCTGTCATAAATGGGAGGGAAGGTCTGCAGTTAGGAAGGGAAATAGCATCTTAAGAACAATAAACGGATTTTATAGGTGCCTGAAGTGGCATGGGTAGTCTGCTGCTTCTGTGTAGTAGTTTTGCTGTCACCCTGGTTTAGATCAGCAGGATATTCAAAAGAAGGAGGAGATCTTTCAAAAGATTTAGGAGAAGGGGTTTCCTTCTAAAAATTTAAAAACAGGTGCTCTCATTCCCTCAAACCACTCAGGCTGAAACACTGAAGATGCTTCAGCCACTTGTTTCCCTCCAAGACTGATGAGAGTAGCTTTCTGCATAAGGGTTTGTGAACAGTTGGAAGTCTGTAAGTTCTTTGCTTTGTTTTGTACTTCTGCTTCTAAATGACTTGTGAACTTTTCCAAGACCCCTTGCTGTATTGCAGAATACATTTAGAAATTCCTGGCAGCTCCATGCTGTGGTTAGCCACGCTATATCAATACTTAGAAACTGATGTCAAGTTTGTGTTGCTTGCCCACAACAGTAAACTTAACAAAAATCAGCAGGGTGAGTCTACCCAAGTGGCTCTGTCTGGAGGCGGGGGCTGGCTCCGTGCTGAACCTGTTGGCTGATTTACTATCAGTGTCATGCACCAATGAGAAGGATTCCCTGCCAGCATAGTTGAGATCTATGTGAGGTGAGATGAAGAGTCTATTTTAAGGTCCAGTGTAGCCTGCTGGTGATGAGAAGCGCGCGGCTGACGGCAACCCTGCAGCCTTGTTGGAGGAAGAGGAAACTTGGCTCATTCAGGTTTTTGGTTGGGGCAGCAGTAGATTAATCTGTTAAATCATTGACTGTGGCAGCGTTGGGTAGTACAGCTGCTCCCTTCATCCATTTTTCCAAGTGATTTGCACCAGGCTGCTGCTCCCCAAGCATCTTTATGTTGGCTGGCTTGTAAAGGGGAGGGCCTGAGAGCTGATTTTAAATGCTAATTAATGGGTTGCAGCATTAATGCCATGTTGGACCCAAAGCTGCTCTTTCCTTGAACCTTGGGTAGGGTAGACCTAGCAGTAAGTGTAAGCACCTGACAGCTGTGTTGGGAGAATGGGTGCACTGGCCGGTCCATCTAACACATGCGTATTTGTTGTGTGCTTGTCCTCAAGCCTTGATGATCTTCTCCCAGGTAACAGGTGATAGGATGAGGGCAAATAGCCTCAAGTTGTGCCAGGGCAGGTTTAGGTTGGACATTGGGAAAAATTTTTTCACCAAAGGGTTGTCAAGCACTGGAATGGGCTGCCCAGGGAAGTGGTCAAGTCCCCATCCCTGGAGGTATTTAAAAGGATAGGTGAGGTGCTTAGGGACATGGTTTAGTGGTGGGATGGCAGGGTTAGGTTAACGGTTGGCTTGATGATCTTAAAGGTCTTTTCACACCGTGACAATTCTGTGTCGATTCTGTGTCATCCTCCTTTGTCAGGTGTCGGGGGCTGAGTGGGATACCTCTTCTTCTTTGTTCGGGGGCAGGGACAACATGCCCCAGATCCTGAGTTCAGCGTGGTGCTTCTCAGCCACTGAGTGGTGAACCTGCTGAGGTCTTGCGGCATCGGTGGCAGGGTTAGCTGGGGGAGAGGCTGTGAGGCAGGGGAGAAGAATCTGCTGCCGTGTCCTCCTCCTTTCTCTCTGTCCTGCCCTGCAGCTCCCTCCCCAGCTGCATCCCAGGGCTGACACCTGAGGACATTCAGGCTCTGCCTTTGGAGGGCTGAGCACGGCTGAGGGGGGGTGACAGGGCGCACCAAGGTGCCGCTGGTTCGTGTCAGGCAGGCGCCCCGGCTCTGCCCTGCCTGAGGCCTGCGGGCTGCCCTCAGCGCTGTCACACGCAAGGCCGCCTGTCTCCCTGCAGCATGCTGCCGCTGTCGCAGCTGCCTTCGGAGGAGGCCTGTGGGGAGGTGGAGGGACTTCAGCTGACAGTAAGCCCCCGGGCAGCCTCCGAGGCTTTGCACATCTCCGCTGCTTCAGAGCAGGTCCCCTCCCCACCCTCCCCCCTCGGTGGTGAGGCTGGAAGCAGGAGGGGTGGCCTGGTAAAACCAGCCGAGGCAGTCACCACCAGCTGCAGCTGGAAGCGGTTACTCCGTTCGGTACTCTCTAATTGTAGTTGTCACCGCTCCAGGCAAACCGGGGAAGGGGGGGGAGAGATGGTTTCCTTATTTTTCAGCTAAGGGAGTTGAAAAATCATCGGTTTTGGCTCGGCACTCCGTTGCCTTGGCGGCCCTCTCCTCCTCAGCTGGGGGATGAGGGATGGCACTCGCTGCTGGGAAGAGACCTGGCCAAGGTTGGTCACTGCTGCAAAGCAAGGAGAGGTGGGGGAGCGAGGGCAGGACTTCCCTCTTGATTTCCACGGGTGCCCATTTTGTCCCAAGTATGCAGGCGCTTCTCCAGAGGCGCTGCTCCTGCACAGGGGGCACTGGGGTGGCTGCTGCTTTCACCCTGCACTTCGCTGAGAGGATAGAAGCTTTTCAGCTATACCTGTAGCCATGTGTCTTGTCAATATCCTGCCGCCTGCCTTTGCCAGCAGGCAGCTTGGAGAAACTATAAGCAATGGTGGAGGTGAGCCATCGGTCTCAGGATGGAGAAGGCGCGTTGGGAATGCATGTGGGGTGAGACTCAGCTGGGGACTCAGAGACTTGGGTGGGAACAAGAGCAAAGAGGAGGAAGCTGCTGGGAAATGACAACGGTTGGAAAAATCAACTTCGTTATGTCCTGTTATAGGGGGAAAAAAAAAACCACCGTGAGGCGAAGCAAGAAGGGGGAAAGGCAGACTAGCCAGAGCAATAAAGATGTCAGGTGTATTTCTAAAAGTGAATATTTGGAATGTACATTACTATGATATGTTATCATCCTGTGCAGAGGGACTCATCTGTTTGAATGAGGCGGCTGTGGCTTATTTCTTGATAAATACAAAGGAAAAAAAAAAGTGGAGGCAGAAGTGATTGAAGCAAGCTTTGAAAGAAAGAAGTTTAAAGTAAATTTAAAGTAAAGTGTTTAAAGTAAATTAAACATCTTTTTTTTTCCTTGAAATGCTAGCAAGATTACTTAAGGAAGAATGTGTGTTTAAAAAAACAGCGTGTTCCACAAACAAAAGCTTTTGTGCAGCTTTGTAGAGCAGTGGTAATAGCACAGCTGGAGGAATCTGTGAAAGTCTGTGTGTAATTAGCTCTGCCTTTTAAACACACAAAAGGAAAATATGAGTGGATGCCAGCAAATCAGAAAAAAAAAAATTGTATAACCCAAACATTTGGGATTTGATTTGAATACAACTACTAGCTTAGTACAAGCCTGAAAAGAAGAAAAAAACCCTGAAAATAAATGCAGTGGGAGGGAATTTATTGCAGTTGTCTCAGTAACTGGATAAAGTATATAACTTTAAGAATGACCAAAATGGTGGCAAAGAGGAAAGTTTCCTGAAAAGTTTCTGCTTTCATAGAAAATGCCGTTTCTTAAAAAAAAGTAAGATGAAAAGGGCACTGCTTTTGCAGAAGAAACCTGCAGAATCTGTGAACATGCATGTCAGCGAGGAGCAGCTCAGTGAGTCTGCCCTGAGCTGGGGTGGCAGGAGCTGGGGTCACTGTGCGTACCAGAAGAGAAGGGAAAGGAAGGAGCACTCCTTTCATCCCTTTTAAAGTCAGTATCTTTATAGTTTTTCTTTGTATTTATGCTTTCATGGAAATAAAAACTCACAGCTATTTTTTTTTTTTATTTTCTGAAAGCGATCACACCCTTTTCCTATTGAATCCTCAGAAAAGACTATTGTTGAGCACAAGTGCTGCCCTTTTTTTTTTCCATTTTGTTTTTTTTTCCCCCTGTTGATCACAGCGTTGACGGAAATGTTTTGGTCTGACTCCTCTGTGATGCCTACTGTCTTCTCTGGCAGGTGCTACTTTGGAGTACATCCCTCACGGTCAACTTGCAAACACCCACTTAACTTCAAATTTGCGAACGCTGAAATTGGAGCAGGACATTGTGCCTGCTCAGGAGGAGAGGAAGACTCCCCTGGTGGAAGCTGTTCGGGGAAGGAAGTCCTTTTCTTCTCAGGACAAAACCCTAGCTCCAATTAACCTGACAGATGACCAGCTTGCCTCTGGCCTCTATGGTAATAACTGGCTGACATTCACCTTTTCATCCAGCTGATGAAGTTTGGATACAAAATACACTTAAAGAAGGTTTTCAGGGTTCTCAAAATTGCAAACACAGGGAAAGATGTGGCTAAGGGGAAAGTCACAGCGCGAGACCCTGTGTCTGCAGATAGTGTTTAGTTGTTAAATGGCAGATTGTAGTGCATCAGTGAAATGCCATTTAGTGTCTTCCTAAGAAAAATGTACTGAGAGAGAAAGGGCTAATAATTAAAAAAAAAAAACAAAAACACCTTTAATTTTTATATATATAGTTTTACCTATCTTGTGCTTAGAGATTGGTTTAAAAGTTGTTTCAGTGAATACTAAAATCCAAAGACGCAGCCTTGGTTGAACCTCCCCACCCTATTGAATGGGTTATTGTTAAATGTCCTGCCTGTACTAATGCGTTAGTTCTGGCAACAAGCTGCTGTCATCTGACACCAAGAATTAAGATTTTCTTAACAGAACAGAGTAGCCCATTTCAGTGTTAGAAGTCTTTCACAAATAGTGGAGGAAAAAAAAAGTGTCTTTTCTTAAAAGTTTTCTAAAGCATCATAAAGATTAGCAGCGTGTTGGAAGATGGGAAAGTTAGGCTAACCTAGTTTTCTGTTTCCAGAGTTGTTTTTGGAAGTGCTCTTCCATATTTCCAGCGTACATCTCACACCATGACTGTATATATAAAAAGATGACAAAGTCCAGCTTCAGTTGCTAAATTAAACAGAAAGCTGTTCGGGTTTTTTGAAAAATTGTCAAAAGCTGCCATAGTCAAAGCCGGCTGCAGATTTGTGCTGATACGTGTGTGCTTTGTCTCCCTTTTCAACAGTATGTACTAATAGTGAAAACACACTCAAATCTATCATGAAGAAGAGGGATGGGAAAAAGGATTTGAGCAACACCAAGAAGAATCTGCAGTTTGTCGGCATTAATGGCGGGTAAGAGACCTGTCTCCAGAAAATCTGCCATTGTAGCACTTTCATAGCAGGGAGGAAAGGAGGAACCCAGGAGCTTATGCATAGTTTTGGCCTGTCCTTCAGGCTGAGGTGCATCTGCTGAGTTTAAGGGTTGGAGGGAAGAACGAAACAGCTGATCTCATCTTAAGCCTCTGTCAACCTTTTCTGCTTTCGAGTCAATGTGCGGCATCAATCTCAAGTATCTGTAGATTAGATTGCTGCCAAATTTAACAGACAAAAGTGAAACAAGCTCAAAGAGCCATGGGAACATTTCTCAGACAATATTTTAGTAAGGAAAACTTCAGTACGTATTTGGTAGCTGACAAGCACAACATTGTGCTGTTGAACAATACAGCAAGAGGTGGTGTTGCCTAAGAATTAACTTTTCCAGTTTCGCACTAGATAAATGTAGAAACTTTGCTATACAAATACAGAAAAGGGTATGGAAAATTAGCTTCTTTTAAAACACTGCTTACCCTTGTAGGATATTGCAGAGAACTTTAAAATTTTTCACAAAATTGTTTTTATATAGCTTTTCTAACCCTTTCCTCAGGTCAGATTTCTTTAGTACAAATGAGCCTACTGATCGCAATTACTTCATTTCATACATTGGCTAAAAAGTATTATTACTTGTAGTGGGCGAATGTTATCACTCATAAATCACTGTTGTACATTAGAATAATAGGCTTAGTACATTAATTCATCAGCAGTTGAGGTTGGTGAGATTAGAATCAGCATTGTAATTGTCCAAATCACTTATATTTCACCTAAAAAAATGTTTTGGATTGTCACAGGAAAAAATGTTAAAATGGCTCTTGTCTTTAGATAGGTTTGTTAGCTACCCTGCTTATATCTGCCTGGTCAGGCAGCAACTTCAATTTACTCTGAACAAAGTCATTCCATTTTGGGGCTAAGGCAAGGTCTGACAGAGCGTTAAGACTGCTGTTTAAAAAGGGTTGTTCTTCTTTCATTACACACCGTAGACGTAATAATCACAGTGTGAGTTGGCAGTGACACTGAGTTCAGTGTGTAGAAAAGGTCTCTGAGTAGAAAACAGGAGAACTGAGCCTGTGTAAGACGTTTTTTCAACCTGCACCAGCAAGTACTGACTGCTGCTGAATTGTGCTGAGCAAGCACCCTGCCCCTGCCCATTCTCCCCACAGGTACGAGACGACATCCAGCGATGACTCCAGCTCCGAGGAAAGCTCCTCCTCGGATTCAGAGGAGGAGTGTGAGGGCCACGAGTACCCTCGCAGCCGGCACACAGAGGAGGGGCAGCCCATGTCCCACGCCCCAGAGGTCTGTGCCATGGGGGCAGAGAAGGACAGCCCTCCCCCGGAAAGCGAGGCCGAGGAAGTGGAAATCAGAGAGAGGTAGGCTGCTTGCCCTCTCCCCAGCACCTCTGAGGGGGTGACCGCCTCACCGCTTCATTGCGTGCCACAAGCTGTGGGCTGTGCCCATGCTGGTGGAGAAACCTCCAGCCCCCATTGCTGCTCGACTGCTGCCTGCTTCCCTCCTCCTTGGGTAACCAGGGGTGGTTTGGTGGCAAAACAACCATGTGTGGGCAGGTAAAAGGTCTCGGAGGGTGTCCTTTCCAGCAGCTGACCCCAGCAGCTTTAAATGGTCCATTTACAGTGAGACCCAGGCAGCTCCCTGCTCCAGCAGAGGCTCTACTGGGTAACAAACAGCACTTGTTTGGGGGCAGGCGATGCCTTGTTACAACCTGGTCTGTAAAATAGCAAGTAAGCAAGCAAATGAGTCTTGAACCATGTGCACCAGGTCAGCAGCCTGCTGGGAACACGTCTTCCATTTCCACCTTCCACGGCGTCTCAGCCGTGGCGGGTACTGCTGGGTAAGATGATGGGGTACAGCAGCAAGGAGGTCGTCCAAACCCGGTATCATATACTTCATATGGATCATACACCAATAGTTTAAGGCCACCGTTGCATACTTCTTCAGCATTTCATGTTTAAGTTACTTTTCAGGTTGCTGGTAATGAGCTGTTTAAGGTAGCACTGGACAGGCAGGGCACCTGGGGTTTTTTTGGCACATGGAAAGCACTAGTGTGGTGAGGTTTTACTGCTTCTTGATTAGGAAATTGACAAAAGGAAGTAGAAAAATAGATGATGAAGGGATATTTTATAGATACTGGGTTTGGCAGATGTTTACAAGTGTGCTAGCTTGGAAAATTACGTAAGTGAAAGAGTAACAGTAAAAGAGCTGAGACTAAACTAACATGTTTCACTGCAGATAAAGCTTAGCATCAAACTTACCTGTAATTATTAACTGCTAAATAAAAGAGATGCAGAAATCTATAATTTAGGGCTATTCAGAGGCCTTGGAGCTGTGAGTTTTAAAGTGCCCTGAGCTTTATGTATACGGTGCTGTGGCCTGTTACTTTACAGTTGGCACAAAAAAAGGGGCAGTTTCTCAAAGGAGATCTCTAATTTGTATTTACCCTAGCAAGGGGTGGTGGTGAAGAGGGACAGCAGGACAGCTTGGATAGCCACACGTACTTGAGGAGCGTTTCCTTTGCAAGCTGGCTGCCCTGGCAATGCCCTTCGAGGGGAAGAGGCAGGGTGCATGGCCATGTGGGACCAAGCGTGGTCCATGTGGTGGTGGATCATTTCATTGCTCTGGAAGCACCAGCAGCTGGCTTGTAACCCGGGAGAGCTAAACATGAGTGTGGTAGCCTCTCTTCTTTTTGGGAGAATTTTCCTTGAAAATTGCCATTATCTTCTGTGGTGGGTTGTAGACAGAGGTGGTTGGCCACAGCCTGGCATGCTGTGTGATGCGGGCATGGGCCATCTTATTTTCAGCTATTCCCTGAGTTTTGAAATTTGTGATGGAACGGAGGCAGAAGTGAAAACAACAAAGGGGGACTGGAGAAAGAGAGTAAATTTCCAGAGTTGGTGGGATGAGAAAGTCTGGTTCTGTTGAGCAGGATAAACCAGGAGCCAGCTAGGAGGCACCGCCTGTGCCCTTTCCCACCAGTTAGTTAATTCCATTTCCGTCATAACTGTCAGCATTTCCTCTTGTTAATCAAGTAATCAAAGCACAGAGTATGTAATAACATGCTCTGCAGTCTTACAGCAGTAGGTGAGAATTTCCACTGGAAGAGTTGCCAAGTCTGAAGCACAGCACTGATGTGTCACCTGCTCTCCCTTCCCACTGCTTCTCGCGCATGAATCTGGAAAACACATATTTCCTCCTTGCGGAGGTCCACAGCCCCACCAGCAGCTCCGCTCACTGTGGAGGGAGTCCTCACAGAGAAGAGCTGCCAGGGTGGCTTCTGCATTGCAGCAGCTGATGGCTTGCCTGGAAACATTAATTCCCACATGACTTTCAGAAAGGTAAATGTTTCTATGCTGAAAGATCAAAAGAAAAATTTAAGTATGCCATGTATTCCGCTGTCTCCCCCAGATACGAGCTAAGTGAAAAGATGCTGTCTGCCTGTCACCTGCTGAGAAACAACATCGATGACCCCAAGGCATTGACCAACAAAGACGTGGTAAGCAGTGCAGGGCAAAATTCTCTCTGAGCTGCAACAGAAAAACTTCAGGGAGTGGTAACTTCTGGTTTTGCAGGACCAGCACCGCAGTGGCTAGGCAGAAAAGGATTTCATCTTTCCTGGAAGAGTCACGAAGTGCTGCTTCTATCAGGAGACTTTTGTCCAGAGAATGTACTTGTGCTTTGTGTGCTGGGGTGTTGTCGTCCCAAGGCACACACATAAAAATAGTAACACAAAAGCATGGTTTCAACACATCCGTGCATTCCCATGTTATTTTTCTTAGTGTCGCTTTAGCACTGCTGTGGACAGCTCTCAGGCCTCCCGTTAAGAGGCTGCACAGGGTGAGGAGCCTGTTTCTTCCCACACCAAAAGCTCAGAGTCTGTTCTGAAAGAGAACCTGCTCTGCCTCCTTCTAAGCACAAGGATACTGTTTCCGTCTCACTTACTGTGCTGGTAGCTTTTATCAGTGCAGCAGGGAGTAAGGAGGATTCCTTGCTAATACTCAGTCTCAAGAAATAAGGTTGTATTGGCTTCCTATAGGAATTGCCTATATGCCTCATAGGAATTGCGTGTTTGCGAGGGCAATCTGAAAGCAAAGGAACACTGTTTAGTGGTATGAAATTGAATTTTGCATTTTTTACAGTGGCACAGTGATGTAAAAGGCAACGACCCAGTGCCAGTCCCCTCTGCTGTAGAGCATCTGCAGCTTCTTAAAGACAGTAATACTGTTTGTAAGACACAGGCACAAGTACTGTCTGTGTCCAGTTCTGACATTTGTAGTCCCATGTTTTGAGGGAACGTTTTGAATGGTTGTTTAATACAGTTGGGACGGGTAGTTTTTAATCCTGTGTCAGTCCTTCAGGAGCAGTTTAGGCATTCAAGTAACAAATGCTTCAGGCCCAGTTGGAGTTGAAAGTGTCAAAAATGGCATAACCAGGTGATACTCTCTGCCTTGGAAGTATAATTTGCATTTACATGTTTCTTTCTTGTGCTTACAAGTGTTTGCCAGCACAAGTGGTGCTTTGTATCTGGAAACTGCAGACTAATCAGCTCTTGTTCTCTGTCTGTCTGCTGATAAAGAAGTCTTGTCCAAAAAGGGTAAACTTCAGTACAGCTAGGGATCTGTATAACTTGTCCCAACCTCTTCCAACATACTCATATCTTCTAGCTGCTGTTTATGCCAGAAAGAGCTGCAGACTGATCCTTTTGGGATGTGATGGATTACTTGAATAAGAAAAGTCTACCATTTACTTAATAATGTGTCTGATACTGTGACTGTAAAAATAATTTCTAAGTGGTATTTTGCACTCAGTATTGCCTAAAATAACAAAAAAAAAATTTATATTGTGTCACTTTATGACCACTTTTGTGTTTCAACTCTGTGTGTTCACAATACACATGGTCTCTTGACTCAAATAGTTGGATCTTTTTAAAGTTTTTATTATAGTAGTATTGATGTAGAATATTCTGTGTATATGTGTAGGTAGTACAGATATATTTGCAGTACTGACATGTGTAGAGTATTCTCCCTTTACCAGACACGGGCCCCCTCTAGAACTACTGGTACAGGCCCTCTGTGTTTTCCCTAGAGGCTAGAGAAGCGTGCCGAGTGTCTTCTTTGCAAAATTGTCCTTGAACTTACTGGCCACCTTGCAGGTGGTGATTTATGAGAAAAGAAGAAGGACCTAGTGGTCCTTCCAGGTTAGAGAAATTGTGTCAGAAAGTCAGAGCTGGCAGTGGTGGCAGGAGCTCCCTTGGCTCACAGCTAGATCTGCTCTACCCACATTATTCCCAACAGACAGTTATCTGGCCTAAGAGGCTCCTACCGCCTCCACCCTCAGTCCATACCAATGGGAAAGTTTATCCTGAATGTCTAACCTGCATCTTCTCATGGCAGCTAAAATCCCTTACTAACTACAGCCACTCATTCTCTAGGTGAAGAACAGTTTTCTTTCTCACTGCAACAGCCTTTTGCACTGTGAAAACATTACAGTGTTCCTTTCCCCAGCTGTTCTTTCACCAGAGAATCTCTGATCCCTCTTGTCAGTCCCATAGGTCAGATCTCCTTGACTTCTAATCGTTCTCGCTGCTCACCTTTGAAACCGCTTCAACCAAAACTTTCTCGTCATTCGATGACCGGACAAGACATGGTAGTCCAGCTGTTGCCTTCACAGTGCTAGGTGGAGAGAAGGGACTTCATCACACACTGTGCAAGCTATAGAGCTGTTTATTTGCCCCAAAACAGTATTTGCCTTTTTCATTACAGTGTGATATTGTTGATTCAGGTTCAGCTCGCAATCCTCTGTAATGCCCAGCCCTTCTCCTGCAGAACTGCTGTCCAGCCAGTTCTCCCATACTTTGTGCATTTGATAATTCATGCCTCAGGTTTGGGACTAATTCACTTAGGATGCTGTTGTTTTAAGTCCCCGAGAAATGTGTGTTCCCACTGCCCTCAGTGTTGGGTTCATCAGTTATTTATGAACTTTACTCCAAGTCTTTTTTCTGTTCACAAGTATTTAACACCGATTTGACATCTCATTCTGGGGATAATCTCATTCTAAAATTCTGTGCCCTCAGAGGCAAACCATTCCTGAAAATGAAGTGAAATGAGAGGAGGTAAGCAACTGGTGTTTTAAAGAGGGGTTTAGTCAAAGGGGAAGCTTCAGTCCGTATATCTTGTTTGTGAGCTGAATACTTTCTTCCCACATTTGACTAAAAAAGGCTTGACCCTCTGCATCGCTGACTTGTGGGATGGAAAGTCCTTTAAATAGATTGCCCACATGTAAATTTTTCTGTCTTGGTTTTGGCAGAGGTTTTGTTTAAATACCATCCAGCATGAGTGGTTTCGTGTCTCAAGTCAGAAGTCGGCTGTCCCTGAAATGGTTGGAGACTACATAACTGCTTTTGAAGAGATTTCTCCTGCTGTCCTCAGACATATCATCAATATGGCGGATGGAAACGGAAACACGGCTCTGCATTACAGCGTCTCACATTCTAACTTTGAAATTGTAAAGCTTCTTCTGGATGCAAGTAGGTTGACTGGTTTGCTTTTTTTTTTAATTATTTTTGTTATTTTGCAATCCTCTCAGGTGGAATTCTTGATGAGCAAGAGGTCAAGTTTGGGCTTCCTCCGGTAGCTGTTTTAGCCATTAACAGTTACATGGTGGCTCCCTGGGGTAGTCTAGAATCCTTGTTTCTAGTGCTAGCTTTTGAGGTGAGGGTGATTGATGGCTGTTGAAGAAGTTTCAAAAACGCTCAAGTAAATTCACTCAAGTAAATTATATAGAGTTGACTGATGTTTGAGACAGGTAGGTAGATCCCTGATTCTTGGACTGTAGTCCAAGTTTGGCAGCACTAGCCTCCAGCAGTTTTCTCTGGAGGCAGTGCAGCTGCTGCTCAGCCAAAGGTAGGGTGCTGATGGAGGAAGATGCATTCAGGTATAAACATCCATGTTAAACACTCAGACTTGTCTAGCTTTATCATACTAGAGCAGTACAGAAGCTTTTTCTGGCCACCACCTTGGCGTGTCTATACTGCTCTCTTGAGAAACTGGAGCAATGTGGCATTCTGCTATATAGGAGCATTTCCCTCATCCACGAGCAATGTGGTGATGCTTAATTTAGTTGCTTTTGCTGTTCTTTCCTTCTCTCGATCCCTTTGCCACCCACATATGGAGAGGGTAGTGGCAGAGGGGGCACTCCAGAGCATCTGCTCCCCACATAGGCTAAGCCAGAAGGCGGGCAGCGGAAGGTATCACATGTTGGAGCTGGTCCCAGGCAGCCTGCAATCTGTTTAAGCGTAGTTTTGCTCCCTGACTGAAGTTTCTTTCCCTAAACTAGTTATAAAACCTGTCACGGTTGGCTGTGAATCTTAACTAGACCAATGACATGGCTGGAGTGTAAGCCTAGCAATATTTATAAATCCAGAAGGGTAACACCAGATAAACAAGGATATTAATGATACAAATCTTAGCTTTGATAACCCAGAACATCTGTCACTAAAGACTTCCTCTGCAGGAAAGTGAGCGCTTTGAAATCTCTGGTCCTGTTTGAAGGCAGCCTATTGGGAAGAGTGACTCACAGCAGGGGAATGTGGGGAATGTCAGGAGCACAGTGAAATGCAGCAGGCTGGCTCTGCAGCACAGCGGTGGGAGGAAACTGCCCCTCTGCTTCCCTGGGCACCTTGGGGTAGCAGGAGCACACTCATCTGTTGCTGGAAGGTGGGACCACTTTAGTTTAGGGCAGCTTGTGTATTCCTACGAAGGCAGTGGGTTTTAACTGCAAAATCCAACGACCGTGACTAGTGCCAGGTGCATGGGAGCACACTGCACACGCCAGTACTTGGAAGATATTTGTGAAATTCCTTCAGGTTTTGACAGTCTCCCTCTGCTAAATGGTCACTATGGTCAACTTTGCAGTGTGGTTATATCACAGGCAGATTCTGGCATTTGGTAGGAGGAGCAGATGAGACAAGAAACTCCTCCATATCACCATGCAGTGCTACCAAGAGGACAAATAGGAAAACAGCTCTGCTCATTAGCCATATAGAAAAGTAGGTGACCTCAGAAAGGTGACCTCAGAAAAGGTGACCCCAGAAAACACATCTCTGCTGAAGTAGTCTAGTCAGGGTAGGAAAGCATCACTTACAATGATTATTCATAACTCGTGAAGTAATGGCTGCGGCAGAGTGTCATGTTCTGTGGCTTTGGTGGCTTCTGAAAGTAACGTTGGGCTGCTGGTTATAAGGTAGTACAGGGGATGTCTATGGAACATGAAGAAAATGTGCATTTTCTTACATCTGCACTTGTATTGCTTCTGCAATGTTCTTTTAATTTGAAAAAAAAAAAAGCCTCTGGCAATAAATCTGAAGAATTTCCTGAAACATTTTTGCTTGTTAAGATATGTGGTGCAATTTAACCTCAGTCTAGAGATACTGTTTATGTAAGTCTGAGTCTCTGTTTTCCGATATGATAAGCACACTGTAAGCCCTGCTGCCTGGTAAACTGAAAAGCCCTGCTGGATTTCTGCAGAACTTTAGGGATGGGCTGGAGGTTAGATTTGAATGAAAAGAAGAACTTGTCAGCTGCTGGCACTAGTCAGAGGACTTGACTGTATTTGTTCCCAGAGTACTTTTGTTTGCAGTCAAATATTCTGTAGAGCTGGAAACAGTCTTTAATTGAAAGTTTTTTTCTGCAGCTGCAAAACCTGTCAAAGTACACTTAGAGATCTTTAAAATAACACCAATTACAGGAAAATATTTGTGCTGAGAAGAAACAGCTTTTCCACTGACCATGTTGCTGGGCCGTTTTCGTTTTACAGTGTGGGTCCCCTCAGGAGAGGAGCTTAAAGACTCTTCTGATTATATTCGTGGGGTTCAGACCCATGACCCTGGCAGTCACTGTCAAATTTCAAACCACTTGCTTTTACAAAAGAAAAGAAATGTACAAAGAAAGCCCTAAACGATGACGTAGAAAATGGCTTTGTGCTCTCCCTTGTGTTGCATGCACAGTAGAAGAGAATCCTTTTCTTTCTCAGGCTCAAGAGCACCCCTGTTTATTTTTTTCTTCTCCACTTTCCCTTGAATTGCCTCCATTATGAGAGCAATTGCTGCCTTTTCTTTTTATAGGCTGCTCTACTAACAGTTTATTCAGTTCATTAGCACAATTGCTGCTTTTTGGGTTCCTGCTTTCCAAAGAAATTATCTCATCCCTCTGCAGATGTCTGTAATGTAAATCATCAGAACAAGGCCGGCTATACCCCCATCATGCTTGCTGCACTTGCAGCTGTGGAAGCAGAGAAGGACATGAGGATAGTGGAGGAACTGTTCAGCTGTGGGGATGTGAATGCTAAAGCCAGCCAGGTCAGTCAAATGGTTCACGAGACACTTTCCTACTCCTGTGGCTTTCTGTCTTTCCTTCCACGCTCCCATCCCTGCTCCATCGGTTCGGCTTTTGCACTCGTTCACTCTCACCCTCTGCCATCTTTGATGTTGGTGTATAGGTTTTTGATTGCTGTACACAAAATGGAGCCATGGAAGAACAGCTGAGCCTCAGGTCTGGATCTCTTCTGAAAATGAAGATTGAAAAGTATATGAAAGAACCATTACTGAATTTTAGGAGGCGTTTACAAATTCTGCACCATTTAGTTTCTTCCAAGGAACTCCAGATGTCTGGAAGTAGATCCGATGTCTTCCTTTAATTTAATAAATAGCTATGTGTATGTGGGATATATTATGCATAAAAGGTATTTAAGTAATGGCAAGCAGAGCCTTGAGAGTGGTGTATAAAACAACACTTTTTTTTTTTCCCCAGAAGCACAGTGCCAAAAATATGTGTGCATGCTTTGTCACTGATTGTCTGTGTGGTGATTTAGGTTTTCCTCTTCTTTCCATGCAGGCTGGTCAGACTGCACTGATGCTAGCTGTGAGTCATGGGCGGATAGACATGGTTAAAGCTTTACTGGCCTGTGGTGCAGATGTCAATATCCAGGACGACGAGGGCTCTACAGCTCTGATGTGTGCTAGTGAACATGGACATGTAGAGATTGTCAAACTTCTGCTGGCGCAGCCTGGGTGTAATGGCACCCTGGAGGACAATGTGAGTTGCCTTTCCAGATAGTGCTTCATCAGATAGCTTCTCCACTCTGGAATGTTTTTCTAATTCAGGTTTTTTTGATGCAGTGGAGAGCTGCTAAAATCTACTTACACAAATCTCTGACTCACAGCGCCAAAGTACCAAACGCATGAATCCTCTGCTTAGTGGTAGTAAGTGCTGTGATAATTTGGCTAGTACCTCTGCATTTCTAGAGACCTACCCAGTAGCTACTTGTGTGATTAGCTGCAGGTGTGCAGTGGCCAGAAGAGATAAACCATTTGCTAGCTCATGGTAAAACATCTTCCCTTCTCATACTCCTTCGCCCTTTCCCAGGAATCTCCCAGTTTTCAGTTACAACCTCATCTGGTGACTTAATGGCCTTGCCGTGTTGATTTCTGTGTCCATGGCAAACATGTTCTCTTCACAGGATGTTGACACAGTATCTGTACCGTGACTTCTGAGAGTACAGGTTTGGTCTCAGTCATGAAGCTGCATTACCCTGACAATAAACATACAGACTGTGACTTCAGTGCCAAGTGAGACTCTTGCATATTTCTTGTTTGCAAGGATCATTGCAGCCTACACCATCAGCAGACAATTTGATCTCAAGCTTCAAAAAGTTGACTTAACTGGTTTATTGCCAGTACTGTGTTCTCATTAACAGCATCACTTTTTGGGCACGTTTCCTTTCTTCCTAGTGCTTTCACCCACTGAGCACTGAAATGGAGCCTGGATTTGGGATTTGGGAGGGCAGGGGTTGGTTATTTTTTGAAGCTGCTGCAGAAAGGCAGAGACATCATTTCTGTTCATTCACTCACCTGCCGCAGGAGCCGGCTCGGTTGCCCCGTGGTGCCAGTGGTGTATAAGAAGGTCTGAGTGTAACAAACCCTTTTGGGGGCAATCTAGGTTACTGCAGCCTGGGTGCTCTTAGGACTATTAATCGCCAAGTTAATAATTAAGAGTCTTTATGGGGACATGACACTTAGCTATTCCTTTAGGCAGTTTGATACTGTTTCCCAAGAACAGCTTCTCTCCTGCTTATTCATTTTATAACAGGTTTGTCTGTGATGAGAAACAATGAGATTTTTAGCATTCCCCTAGCTATTCTGAATGTGACAGTGGTGCTTTTCCAGTCAGTATGATCAGTGGTAAACTGAGCTTCATCCTACTGATGCGTGCCACTCTGACAGTGATTCAGAATCGTTCTTCAAGAACTTGGTTTTTCCTGGTGCTGACGGTGGAGTATTTGCTGTTCATTTGTAGTGCAGCAGTGGACAGCTCTTCTAGCTCCCTGTCTGCTTAGGACAGTTATATTTATGTATAATGACTCCCTGTAGTCTCATAAGAAGACTTTCCACTTGGATGCTGTCCATCGTGTCCCATGCTGGAAAAGGGGTTTACAGTTTCCTTAGACTGCTGCTGACCTCTCTAATACCAGTGCTATGGCAGTGGCTGGAAAACGTGCTCCATTCAGAGAGCCAACATAAGAGGCGATCCCTGTGAGAGGACATACCCAGTACTGGCATTATTGTGGAAACTGCTGTGCGCAAGAGGCAAAAGCCAGGCAGTGGACCAGCAAGCCACTGTGAGATTTGTGTCGAGGTTGTAGCTGCCTGTCTTGTAATTTAAGCACCAGTGGAGAGCAGGGGAGTTGTAGCCATGTGATGCACCAATTTCAGGAAGGGAAGGAAGCAAGGAAGGCAGAGTTGGGGATGCAGCAGCTTTGTATAGGCATGCCCCTCTGACAGCTCAGAGGTTCACATCACAGGTTGTCTGCTTCTTCCTGGACCAAACATGGTCTAAAGGGAAATCAGCAGGTCAGTATGTTCCTCTTTAGGCAAAAGCAGTCTTTGCTTCTAGCAGCCTCAACAACCACAGTTTCTGAAAGAAGTATCTTCTGAGAAATGGAGGTGACAGTGTTTGACCTGATCGTATTCGACTGGGAAAGTTTGTAGTAGATTTCCATCAAGGAGCATTTGGAATTATGAATGCAACCGTTCTTAGTGTTAATGGGAGCTATAACACAACAATTACCATTATAACACAGCAATTATCATGATATTTGATTAGCATTTATCCCTCCCTTCTCTTCTCTTCCACTCCTCACTGTCACTGTAGTTTCTCTCAGACCAATCTTCGGAAATCACCAGTCTTACACAGCACTACATGTAACGTTACTGTGATAATGGCATGATCATTCTTCCTCAGTAATAATTGAGACTCCTCATTGAGAGAAATTATGAGGCCTCTGACAATTGGACTGCCTCATAAAACAGCAGTGCAGGGCTTATTGTCACTTAATTATAATAAAAGAAATTAAACAACACTCTAAATTAACCCAACTGTCTGTCTGAGCAGTGGGGCCTCCACTTCATAGCTTCCTTTCTCGGTGGGCTGATTGGGCTTTTAAGAGGGTGGTTAATGCCTGCAAGGACTAATTCTCTTACTTCTTCCTTTCTTCTCTCAGGATGGCAGCACAGCACTTTCAATAGCCCTGGAAGCTGGACATAAGGACATAGCGGTTCTCCTATATGCACATGTCAACTTTTCCAAAACCCAGTCACCGGTTAGTACACAACCTCCTGCAGTTTGCTTTTTAACTTGCTGCTCCTGAACGTAATAGTAAAACATAAACAAAAAATTACACCACCACCACCACCCCAGCAGCTGTACAGCCAGCCATAGAGCACATGAATTTTCACAGGTTTATTCACGGGGTAATTTTTATGCTGGTAAGTGAAATGCACATTTTTAATATAGGTTGTCTGCAGAAGGCTGAACCTTGGCTGAAGGATACCTCCACTTTCCTGTTTTCTGGGGGGTCAAGAGAGCACACTAGCAAGGTTCACTGACTCCGGCAAGTGAGCAAAGGTGCTGTTGCATCATTGTAATGCTAATTATTGACCTGGTCACCAAAACACAGCTGTTTCTGGAGTTACAGCTGTCCTAGGTGTTCTGGCAAATACCCACCTGCTTTCCGAGCCCCATCTCACCTTCCTGATAAACTGCTGCTACACATTTCACTGTCTAAACAACAGGCACTCTCAGTTAGTAGGCTGTATGATAACTGGCACTATTCTTCCTAAAACGGAAAAAAAAAAAAAAAATATTAACCTGTGCAATTAAAGGCAAGGAATTGAACAGAGTGCTTGTGAGTGCTGTGTTCTTACTTGTCTGGCTGGAATAATTTATCTTTGATTAATTGCTTTTTCCTTTTTTCTAGGGCACTCCTAGGCTTAGCAGAAAGACATCTCCTGGTCCCACCCACAGAGCCACGTTTGAGTAGTAGTGCATGAATATCTGTAAAAATCTCTATGCCATCTTTAAGCTGCTAAACGTTACTGTTTTACTGAGACAGATACTGAATGTAATTGTCTTGTGCCTGAACTCACCAGCAAAGTGAAAGCAGAGATCTAGTGCTAAAGATAGAAAACTGTAAACTTGAAGCAAGCACATAGTTAAGTAGCGCTCAGCTGAGAACCTTAGCCAGAACTGTTCTTCTGCTCACCTGCTCGTCTTGCCGTACACTGGCATACATCCTGCTTTTCTTTGCTGTAGATTATCCTTTCCTATGTTATGTGCAGCCTAAGACTGCTAAAGCTATCCATGCAGGGGTGTCCCGGTGGCTTTTTTTTGATCATTCTAAAACATATTTATATTTACTGTGCCTAGACTTTATCACAGTAACCTTTTCATAAATTTCATTCCAACTTGATTTTGGTGTTTTTAATTACTTTAAAATTCAGAAGTTGCAGTTGCTTATATAGTCAGCTCCGTGGATCTTGAGCTGGTGGGTGAGTGCGTAGGTATTGGGGATAGAGCTTCTCGTCAGGTCTGAAGTTCACTAAATAAATTGTTGCTAATTGGGGATAATGTATAACTTTTTATATGAAAGATACTAGTATCTATAAAATTAACTCGCACAGTATTTTCAACATTTTATATTCCTTAATAATTAAAAACTACATGAAGAATTACATGTCCTGTTACCATATTTTTATTAACTGTGTCAGTCTATAAGCTCCCTTCCTGTTTATTGGAGAGTAAAATTAGAGGTACCAGCTGTATATTCCCCTTGAGTGGAATTGAGTGTAGTTCTCAGTGCATATTTATGGAACGCTATTACCTTGTCACATTCACTTTAGTCATGTGTATTGAAATGTTTGAAGTGCCTTAGACTCTTGCCATATTTTCAGAATAAAATTTCATTATGCTGTTTTACTCTTCTCCTCTTTTACGTGTGATTTGTCATCATCCAGATAAGCTGCAAATTACAACTGCAGAGGCAAACCAGAATAGATTGGCAAGTCAAGGCAGGGAAGACGGGGGTAGCTCAACCCTTGGGGGTTGCTGATGCAAACAGCATCAGTGCCCAAATGAGCTTTTTCCTGCTGCCTGGCAGGGTAAAAAGCCTTGCCCGATGATCTGCCTTCGCTGGTCTTGCACGTGCTGCAAAGGTGGACCCTTTGCTGTCTGGGAGAGAAGTGGCCTCTTTCTCAGCCATGTGCAGCGTCATGGGGAGCCACCAAAGAATGGTGTTCAAACAGTTTGACCTCGCTCTCTGCAAAGTAGTTACCAACTGAAGTAAAAGCCTTTGAACTTTTATCTTCCAGACAATCCTGGCAGCTTGGTGAAGGGGATGCTTTTTAGATGGCGCTGGAGCAAGTCCTAAGCTAGTGTCTCTGTATCCACGTCAGTTCAGACCTACCCGATGAGACAGAAAAACACACATCAGTGCCTTCCCTCAGGGAACCTAGATGCTTCTGTTCCTCTGTGTCCTTCCTCCTTCCCTCCCAAAGTCCTTATCAAAAAGTTTTTCCTAAATAGTCCCTTTGAAATACGGACCCACTGAAGCCATCTTCATCCCACTTGGCCAACATGGACTCAGTGGCTTGGACTGCATGACGTTTCTGTGAGCCCTGTCAGAGCTGGTTTGGTCCAGCTCTGTGGGTGCTGCCTGATACCACTGCCAGGCTGGTACCCCAGTGCTAGGGAGCATCCCCTGGTCAAAGAGTGGGTGAAGTCTCTCTGCTGCAGGGGGAAAAACAGGTCTAAACACAGCAGTTCCAAACAAGGCCCCCCTCCCACCTTGAGTTCAGTCAGTTTTTACTACTGCACACCTGTGGCCAACTTTTCTTTTTCTTCTCGGTCTTCACTTAGCATCTGATTTTGTGTGGATGCTGTCCACCTGGGTCCTGCCTGCCAGTTAAAAAGGTAAGTCACCAACTTGCCAAATTATTGTGAAAATAAGGTCTTCCCTCTGACACCAGACTGACGGCAAATGGCAGCAGCAGTGAAAAATAAAAGAGAAAAAAGTGCTCCTCGCTTCGCCAGCCGCCCTTGGTGAGAGAGAGTGGGTGCAGGCTGTCCTGTGCAGCAGGGAGCTGAGCTGTGCGCCACACGTGCATCCGCCTGATGGCCTGAGGCTTGGCAACATGCAGTGCATGACGCTACTGCAGGCTTCCCAATAAATCCTCATTCACTTAGGAGCCGGGTGGGTTCCTCGTTCGGCAGAATTAGTGCAAGTTGGATCTCTCCACGCTGGGCATGGCAAGAGGTGGCTTTTGTTTCATTTTTCAGATCTGTTGGTCTGGAAAGCAAAGTCAGGATAATCTGTTCTTGTCTTTATGAGATTAAAACACACACGGTGCTGGAGTTATATTAAACAAGCTGATGAAGTGCAGAAAAAGGATGACTGCTTTAATCTGTCTCCAAAACTTGTTCTAATTTTACAGAAAATCCAGTTCACTTATTTATATATATGGGGTTGTTTAGCCTGGAGAAAAGGAGGCTGAGGGGAGTTCTTACCACCCTCTACAGCTACCTGACAGGAGCTTGTAGCAAGGCGGGTGTTGGTCTCTTCTCCCAAGTAACAACTGATAGGATGAGGGGAAATGGCCTCAAGTTGCACCAGGGCAGGTTTAGGTTGGACATTAGGAAAAATTTTTTCACCGAAAAAAAAGAGGTGCTTAGGGACATGGTTTAGTGGTGGGATGGCAGGGTTAGGTTAACGGTTGGACTTGATGATCTTAAAGGTCTTTTCCAGCCTAAACGATTCTTACGATTCTATATATGCTTGCCTATATCTAATGGACTAAGTTCATGTCTAATAGAGGGATATTATATTGACAGGGCAGAATTTGGACCAGGAACAGGTTTCCACTTTCAATTTTACCAAGGATACAATTTTTATTTAGCACTGGCTTGACCAAAAAGAGTCTAGTTGTGTTTTTTTAAGGAAGTTAGTAACCATAATTTTAACTCTGGTTTATATCTCATGAGAGTGGTTTTAGATAGTCCTGCAAGGAACAGGGAGTTGTACTTGATGATCCTTATGGGTCCCTTCCAACTTGAGCTATTCTATGATTCTGTGATAGCAGTTTTAAAGCCTGTAGATATGCTCCAAAGTCTGACTTTGCTAAAGAGTGTGCTGACGCTGTCTGATAATATCCCCTTCAGTAGTGCCACTGTATTACTGTAGGAGATACCTTAATTAGTAAAACATCCAATAGATCTTTGCCCCCAAAATAGTTTTTTAAACAATTATCTTTGTTGCTGCAGTACTACCTTGCTACCATGCTTCATTTGCACACATGCGTATTTGTACATACTGTAGCCTGAGGCTAAAAAAAATTTTTGAAACGCCTGTGGATTTAGATATTCTGGGTTGGCACAGGTCCCTGTCTCTCCTTCCACAAATCAATGGGAGTCCTGGGCATGCAACTATTGTAGGAGGGCTTAAAAAAACTGGTCCAGTGGTTTAGGTGGCTAATGACCACAGTGAGAGTCACCAAATGTAGTTTTTTACCTGAAAAAAAGCATAGACAGGACAAGCGGTAATGGTTTTAAACTAAAACAGGGTAGGTTTAGAGTGATTATAAGGAAGAAATTCTTTACAATGAGGGTTGTGAAACACTGGAATGGGTTGCCCAGGGAGGTAGTGGAGGCCCCATCCCTGGAAACATTCAAGGCCAGGTTGGATGGGGCTCTGAGCAACCTGATCTAGTTAAAGGTGTCCCTGCTCACTGCAGCGGGTTGGGCTAGATGACCTTTAAAGGTTTTTTCCAACCCAAAGCATCCTATGATTTTATAATTCTATTATAAGAATTGATTTTTCAGAAACATTGTAGCCATTGCTCACAGAATATAAATTATGCTTACCACAGCTGCCTTAGAGTGGTCCTGGATCAACAGAAGCTAGCATATGAATTCAGCGTGAAATGAGCATGTGATCTCATGTTTTGACCATGATGAAATATGTAGTTTTAGAACTTTATTGCTAATAAAATCTGTCAAAATATTGGTGCTTTCCCTGTTTTTTTATATCTTATACTGATGTAAAACTGAGTGAAAACTCAGGATTTTTTTACGCTGGGCATGGCAAGAGGTGGCTTTTGTTTCATTTTTCAGATCTGTTGGTCTGGAAAGCAAAGTCAGGATAATCTGTTCTTGTCTTTATGAGATTAAAACACACACGGTGCTGGAGTTATATTAAACAAGCTGATGAAGTGCAGAAAAAGGATGACTGCTTTAATCTGTCTCCAAAACTTGTTCTAATTTTACAGAAAATCCAGTTCACTTATTTATATATATGGGGTTGTTTAGCCTGGAGAAAAGGAGGCTGAGGGGAGTTCTTACCACCCTCTACAGCTACCTGACAGGAGCTTGTAGCAAGGCGGGTGTTGGTCTCTTCTCCCAAGTAACAACTGATAGGATGAGGGGAAATGGCCTCAAGTTGCACCAGGGCAGGTTTAGGTTGGACATTAGGAAAAATTTTTTCACCGAAACAGTTATTAAGCATTGGAACAGGCTGCCTAGGGAAGTGGTCAAGTGCCCATCCCTGGAGATATTTAAAAGCCAGGTAGACGAGGTGCTTAGGGACATGGTTTAGTGGTGGGACAGGGTTAGGTTAACGGTTGGACTTGATGATCTTAAAGGTCTTTTCCAGCCTAAACGATTCTTACGATTCTATATATGCTTGCCTATATCTAATGGACTAAATTCATGTCTAATAGAGGGATATTGTATTGACAGGGCAGAATTTGGACCAGGAACAGGTTTCCACTTTCAATTTTACCAAGGATACAATTTTTATTTAGCACTGGCTTGACCAAAAAGAGTCTAGTTGTGTTTTTTTAAGGAAGTTAGTAACCATAATTTTAACTCTGGTTTATATCTCATGAGAGTGGTTTTAGATAGTCCTGCAAGGAACAGGGAGTTGTACTTGATGATCCTTATGGGTCCCTTCCAACTTGAGCTATTCTATGATTCTGTGATAGCAGTTTT